CGGGTATCTCGCCAAGGGTCGAAGAGTCACACCTTTCATTTCCTCGGCTGTAACGTGTAATTTACCACTTTGAGCGGGAAAACAAGAATCGTACGAGGAACCCGATCATAAACGGTCGTCTATAAGTATACACTTGGCTAAGATGTATCTATCTTCGAAGTGAGCGTTAATTCTCCCCTACAAATTTTCTTCACAATTGCGGTTATCCACTGATCGATTGCATTACATTACAAACGGAAGGTGGCAATAAAAGATTGAAGTTTGAATCGACATCAAATTTCTTAGTTCCGCAAAATGGTTAATAGAGTCAAAAAATCATATAAAAATTTATCCTGAGAAAAAGATATTAAAAATTTATTTGTGAGATATAACGTTTACTTCACTGAAACAAATCCTTATGTAAATTCGACGAAATCAAATATTATTCCACAACAAATAAACTATCTATTTTATGATAAATTATATATTAATAAAAACTAATGAGTTTTTATAGACTCCTTTAATTAAAACAATTAGTGAAACCATAAAAATATATTACAGGCAATAGGAGTCGATAACGAGCTGGTTATCAATTAGCGCAATTTTATCTATTTTATGTTTTTATAATTAATGAGATATATTTCATAGAAATGTGTATTTCGTCATCACAGTCAAATTTGTTTGTAACTAATAAATAGTCGAAGAGAAAACACGTGTAACATTTGCTTGTGAATATTTCGACTTTTTCTCAGTATAAAAAGAGCAATTATACCGCGTATTAAAATAATTAATAAAATCCGCTGGTACCGATCTCAACCTGCCTTTTCGTAACTGTATTTGTAATTTTGGTTCGCAGTAGGGCGGAAATGGTTCGCCATTGCGGCGCAACAACATAACCGACGAACGCGCGGCGGGCGCGGTGCCAATGGGACCTGCTTCTATCTACGCGCGCATAAAGAATCTTTTCGCAACAACCTGCGCGAACGCGCGATTACCCGTGGTATCGGCGTGAAGGGCGCCGGGTTGTTCCCTCGTCGGGATTCACACGCACGGGACATACTACGTCGACAAACAAAATCGGGGTAACTTAGCGCGCCCAGTATTCCGTATAATTTATCCGCCACGTAACGAAGGTAGGAAGAAAGAAGCGGAATTCTTTGCCGGAACCGCCGCCGGTAGCTACCGGAATAACCGGATAAAATGCAGGTTCTCTCTTGCTTTTTTTCCTCCTTACTCTCGCCGATCTAGAACGACGAGAAAGGGTTGTCTGCAGAAGAGACAGATAACCGCGTGGAAGGGCGTCTTTATGTGCAGGTAGATGATTCGTCGACGACCGGTGCACGATTCATTCTCGGTATCTCTTTCTCTCATTCTCTCTTTCTGTTTTGAGTTTTTCGAGATGTGTGTTGAGATGGAGGCAACCGTAGGGTGCACGTTTCCTCGTAAACCGCCATGAGAAGAAAACGTCGATCGACCCCTTCGTGTATATTTGCGTGACAACAAGAGAGAAGATTGTGGCTTTTAATTTAATGCGATGCATCGGAAACGGCAGGTAGGCTGTGACGGTAGGACGGCCGCAGATTGTAAATTAAACTCATCTGTCCTCGGGATCACAGGTCGAGGAACAGTGAGAGAAATGTGCTTTAGACGTATATAGCTGTTATATTTTCATTAAGCCTTGTAATAATAAATTAAATATCAGTTAAGGATATTATCTTTATTCAAAGCTGTAAATCTCTCTTAATGAATTGTGATAGACAATTATTTATCTGAGGCGAGAGTTTAATTAAATCGTAGAAATTACCGTTTCTCATTTTCATGATATAAGCGAAAGGTACTGAATGGCACGATATGGTCTTGAAATTAACTGGGATCACGATCCGCCCGAGGTCGAAGTCAGTGCACTGAGCGTGCGCATTTATTGCATTCCCTTTGATCGGCGGTAGTGCATCGGCACGCACTCGATATACGTATGTATATACTTGACGTTGTATTCGTGGGTGTCGATGAGATAAGCGTGGCAGCAGGTAAGGAGACAACAACGGGTGATTCGCGCTGTTCTATCGCCAGCAAATAGTTCCTTCAGGATCGTGGCTGTTCCGCTTATCGGCGAGCGAATCGAATTCTGTCTTGACTAACGATCGTATAAATTTGCAGTGCGTACAACAACCGACTAGATCGTTTCAGTCAATACGTCGGGTATGTATGATGATAATGACTTGACTTATCTTTAAATAGCGAGTGTTTGATTAATTGACGTGTAATTAATGGAATAAAAAAGTTCTGCAAGATTACTTATAATTTTTAAGAAATTTTTATTGCGATAGATATATTCATTCTTGAGACTTTCCGAACGTCTTGTATATTCAGAATTTAGAAAACCGTTAAATAAGTTGTCTTACGCTCATTTCTACCAAGGTATATTAACTTTAATCTCGAGGTCTGTTCTTTATTTCCTGCACTCTCTGTACTCGACCGGTGCAACAAGTTGAAGTGAAACAAATATACGTTTGTTTCATTTCGACTTACTGCACCGTGTGCACGAGTTCGAAGAGTGCAAGAATGAAAAACAGACTTTTGGTTTAATTTACTTTTATCTTTTTTCAATTCTTAAAAATTAAAATAAGAGAAAAATAAAAAGTAAGTTAAACCGAGATTAATTAAAGATAAAAAGTTAAATTGAGATTAATTAAAGTTCATCTACATTGATAGAAACGAGCGTTAGTTGATATTTCATGGAATAATATTTTTAGAATCTCTACCTCAATTTACACATTTTTTACACGGTAATAAAATTACAATATGCCATAACCGTCGTTATTATCAATATATAGAGCTGCATGCAGAATCGTTTCAAGTTCAACGTACTATGCGCGTGCCGCATTTGGAATGTGCCGTTAAGCGAAGTGAAATGCGTCGCGCGTGGCCATTGCGTGCAATATTGATATTGTAATGCAAAGCGAAGCGAGTGTAAATATATGTATATCGACGGTAGCGAGGACGTTTCTCCTGTCGAGACAAACGGTTAATAACACGCGCGCCCGTAGCGTATCAGTTACCGAGATTTTATCATGAAATTCTGTCAGTGTGCACGTACGACGCCGTCTCCGCCTTTTCCTCTCTCACTTCGGTCTCTTGTGTATGGTGTTTCTCCTTCGTTATGAAATAGTACGATAAAATGATTGGTCGCACGCACGCTTAGCAAACTAGCGAAAGAACAGAGCTTTATGCGAATAAACTGTTTACGACGACAAATACAAGGGTCTTATATCAAAAATCGGTTCGCTTTCGTTTTCTAACCGATTCGTGGCTATACCGGTCTTTTGTCGCGATTATCGTTTCATGATCGATTAATACGAATGATTTCATTTCACTGGTGATAATCCTGCCCATAATTGTGAAGAAATGTTTTATGATTTTATTTCGCTTTAGAATTCGAAACTCGTTGAATTTCCATTGTTGCGCCTGAAACATTTCGCAATTATGAATACTTTTATTTATAAATATATATCCTCTTTATTCTCATCGAGGAAAAAACATTGCTACTTTTTTTATGAAGTGTTAGAAAACAGTCATGTATAAATTTATGACGATACTATAAAGAATTTAATATCAAGTGTAAAGAGAAAACATATCTATATTAAAATCTTATCTTTGTATGAATTACAAAAGGAGAAAAAAGAATGTGATGCGAGAAATCAAAGAAGTTTTTACCTACGTCGAAGACGAACAGAAGACGTAGTCGAAGAACGTTACCGTTTTTTTTTTGTGCGCGCCGGTCACGTGACGGACTCTCGAATAGAATGCGGCGTGTTTTTCAATCGCGTAAAAATGGCAGGCAATCTAACGTGAATCTGCCGTTCGCGTACGATGGGGGGAGGGGGGGGGAAGAGGGGGGACAGGGTGCTCGCGCGAGGAGCACGCGTGCCCCAGTGCACACGCTCAGAGACGCACGCGCGTGTGTAGGTTCCGAGCGCGCGTGGGCGATGCTGTGGCACGCGACACGACCGTTACACGTTCGGGCTGGCAACGTGGGTCGACGCGGAAGAGGGGGTGAAATTCAGAAGGGGAACAAGAGTTGGATTGCAGAACTCGCACGTACACACACGCGTGGTACGCGCTCGCGTACGCGAGAGACGCAATGCGCGCATATCAGGTAGGGGCACAAAACAGCCGACGCGACAACCACTCTCGCACAAAGAGCGAGAGAAAGAACGGAGTTCAGGTAGGCCGAACGGAAATTCGAATAAAAAATGCGAGTCGCCGAGCTCTCTCGCGCGCGGAGGAGGGGGGGGTCTAATGTACCCGTACGCGCGCGTGAACGCGAATCCCTGTTACGTGTGTGCATGCGCGTGGAGAGGGTCTCCTAAGAGGGGTCACAGCATCTGCTCCTACAGAACAACATAACATACACACATTGAAACTTGCGGAGCGTGTAGCGTGAGAGAGAGAGGGGGGGGGGGTGGGGAGGAAGGGAGGGAGAGAGAAAGAAACGGAGGTAGGAATAAAAAGGGAAGGACGTAGAGCGTAGCGGACTATCGCGTTGCACTCACGAACATCCTGCCCCTCCCGCCGTTGTCTGCTGACGGTGGGGGACAATTGGTGGAACATATCCCTGGTCGATTGGCTGGTGGCCCGCGACCGTCCGTCCCCCATTGGCAAGTAACGAGGGGCCCGCGGGCCCGTATTGGCTCGGCAGCACGTGCGGGCCACCTGCAATTCATTGGTGGGGCGACCTGTTATAAGAGGCCCTGACACAACCCCCTGCCAGTCAGAGACCGGCTTGCAGCCGTAACGTTCCGAGCTGTAGTCACTATAGAACATTCCTTGCATTTCTCTTTCGTGTTTCACGCGAGTCAAGATTTATCCGAGTATCTCCCAATCGGTCAGTTGTATTCGGATGAGCGTGTGGTGAAGATTAATTTTATTACTCTTTGAAGAAAGATCGAAGTGCCGTTTCTTTTTTTGAAGGAGACTCTTGACTTATGTGTGAAATAACAGTGCAGTGACATTGCCACGTATTATTGCCTTGCAAGATTTCGGCAAGGCTGTGATTATTGGATTAACACTCTAAATGACGGATATTCATATGAGAAGAATGAGGATGCTATAAAGCGTCTTCGTGGCATAGCATCGATAAATCAGAAAAACGTTTTAAGTGCCTTTATGCAATATCAAAACAGTGCCAAAATGCTTGTCGACGAGGTGCCGCACAGCTTCATGAAGAAAAATTACAATTACAGTCATTGCCCGTTAAAGAAGCGGCCGTTTTATTACACATCCGAGGATGAAGAAGAAGTTCCCGAAGCAATTAAAGGTTTCAAAATTATTTTATTATTATCACAAATATTTTCGAAAAATTATTTTTATGCAAAATTCAAATTCATATTTACTCTTTAAGCATATATATTTGCTTTATATATTGCTTTCGATTTATTCATTTTTAAAGATCAAACTAATTGTAAGTAGAGAGAGATACGAGAATATAGAATAACGGAGAAGATAGATAAATATGTAACTTTGAACATAAATTTGAGATATTTTGTTATTATTAACCCTCGAACGTCACACATAGGTCTTTCATGTCCATGCATTAAAAATAATCATTTTTGTACTTTAATAAAATCAAAAACTGCTTTTTTCTTCAAAAATCAAAGTTACCATTTTTATATCAAAATTGAATTATTTTTTTTTTTCTGGTGCAGAAAGTAATTTTTAATAATTTTTCTAAACATTTTTTCCAATGTTAGCATAACAAAATAATTAGTAGAGACCTTAAAGAATGTGAATTTTTCGAGCACTTTAAGAGCCTTAAAATCAAGTCGAACACAAATAACCCATATGTAGCGTCCAAAGATACCGAAAATAAGTGTGATGTTCGAGAGTTAATAAAGTTGCTAGTAAATTATTATTTTAATATAATATCTATTTAATTACTATAGTTAAATACATATATATAATTATGTCAAATTTAAATACAACAAATATATGAAGAACGTATGAAAACAAAAAAAAAAATAAAAAGAGTTGAAAAAAAGAAGTAAAGAGAAAGTTTATTAACACGATATAGTTAATTGTAATGAATATTTCTTATAGCAATAATGAAGCAAATATATGACTTACGATTAATTCTTTTTTTTTTTTAAGTTAAGTCATTGAGACTAAAATATCAGAAAAATATTTATAAACTTTATTACTTCGAAATTTGTATTTTATTTTCTTTGTATTATATATTTTGATATCCCTTAGCATGTGTATGTGAACGTGTGTCTCTTGTTTGTGCAGAAGAAATAATAGATGTAGGAGTAGATGATATTCCTGAACCTGAGAATCTCAGCACGAAGCCCGAGGATCTCAGTAGAACGGCGGATCGTCATCATAGTCCTCATCAACAACAACAGCAGCAACAACAACAACAACAACAACAGCCACAACAACCAGAATCACAAGAACGCGCATCCAGCAGGATGCCACCTCCTATCTTTAAGACATCTCCTCCACCTTTGACGATAGAGCCATCCTCGCCGACGACTCACCACGCGATGCACTACGTCCATCAGTTACATCACTATCACCATCACTATCCGACCAAGACTATCACGCCCCCAGCGGGAATTGCGCCGACCCATCACCCAATGGTGAAGAAAGGGCGAGTTGAAGTGATCCAGCATAATGACAATGCCACGACGACACCGACGGCGGGTGTGACGGCGACGTCAGCACCGTTGCATTTTATGGCGAGCAAAGCACCCTTGGAGCCGTTGAATCTAAATCCCCCGGTGGAGCCTCTGGCTCATTATCCTACGCCAGCCTGGACTCGCACGGGTCCACTGTATCCGTCGCATTATTTGCCTTACGCTCCTCCTGCCTATCATCGCTATCCTGGAGCGGAATTGTATTCGTCGTACCCGGTACCGGCTTATCCGCACTCCTCTCCAGAACATCATTCGTCAGTTTCGCCACCGCCTCACGGCGCATTGACTTGCTCGACGATCCAACGGCCCATCGCCAGGAGCTACCCTCACTGGAGTAGCCCGGATCATTGTGGTTTGTCGCCTACGAGTTCCGTGGGTTCCGGTTCTCTACGATCTCCGCCTCCCGTGACGCCGGAAGATCTCTCCTCGCCCAGCAGTGACAGCGGCCGGTCGTCCGCTGGCAGCACGTCTGCTGGAAGCACGATCATGAACACGAAAATAGAGAAAGGCAGTCCGAGCACCAATGCCAATACTTCCTCGAATTCGACGTCGTCCAGGTATCCATGCAAAAATTGCACCAAATCGTACTCGACATTTTCCGGCTTGTCGAAGCACCAGCAGTTTCACTGCGCGGCTGCTCAAGGCCAGGCAAAGAAGTCCTTCTCGTGCAAATTCTGCTCAAAGGTATATGTCAGTTTGGGCGCACTGAAAATGCACATTCGAACGCACACGCTGCCCTGCAAGTGCCATACATGTGGCAAGGCATTCTCCAGGCCGTGGTTGCTTCAGGGTCACATCCGGACGCATACCGGCGAGAAGCCATTTCGATGTCAACACTGCAATCGCGCATTCGCCGATAGGAGCAACCTCAGGGCTCACCTGCAGACCCATAGCGACGTCAAAAAGTACTCCTGCGACAGGTGTAGCAAGACAGTCAGCAGGATGTCGTTGCTTACGAAGCATCAGGATGGCGGCTGTCCCGGCGTGCCGGTGTCAGTCGGCTATTCTTGCTAAAGTTTCGCGTTTCTGTGACACAATGACAAATGTCGCTCGTTTTTATTTCGCGGTCTCAAAGTGCCTTAGAATGCAGTACAAATGTCGAGTAAGTGAAGTCCGGTATCTTGGTGATTCGCTCGCGAAGTATCGATTAATCTTTTCGCCATCAGACTGTATCCTTCCAGGAAAGTGATCTTTAAAGAAACTAAAGTTTTCGCTTATAAAATATTCTCTGAAGAGTTGCATTTTTATTCCATAAAAAAATTCTTTTTCAACTTTAAATTAATTCCGATTTTAATAAGAAGTTATTAAATTTTATCATTTTTTGATTTTATAACAGTGATGAAAAAGTTCATAACTCCATACATTTTCGTTAAGTATACTGCTCGATAGAATCGAGAACGCGCATTATTAAGATGTCGACTCGTCAGACAATATCTCGAAAAGTTTCATGAGAGTTGGTTTTGTTTGTTTATTATTCTTCGCTGTAAATATCGATGTACGAGTGCACGACATACAATGATACAAAATATTTCTCTTTTAATTGCTGAATTTTAGTTAACTTCAAATTTTATTTGTAGAAGAACCTATACGTTTTTATCTATTTATTACTATTTTAAAAATATAACCTGCTTATTACTATTTTAAAAATGTATAAACAGATATATATATATCCCATAAAAGATTCAGAGAGAATCAATCGTTTGAGTCTGCAATTAAGAGATAAATAGTTTTGTAACTTATTTTGTATGTATGCGATATAATAGTACTTAGAGATTATTTCGTCCTTCCGAGAGATCGGTCACGTCGCTCCGAGCACGTGAGAAATATCAAATACAAAAAAAAAACTGCTCGATTACCGCGTGATGCGGTCCCGTGAAACTGCTGTGCCATTTTTTTATGTTTCATGCCATTTTTTTTTCATTTGTTCTAATGCACTCGAGCACATAAAACGCGATCATAAAACGAAAAGATCGAGAAATAGGACGATTTGCACATTTTTTTTCTGAGTTATATTTCGTTTCTTTTGTCGGCGTGCGAGCGCATCCGAGCATTATTTATATTCCTGATTCGATCGAAACTTATTTATATTAATTATTGAAATAAAACGAGAAATAAAAGCGGAGCTTTATGAGAATATTTAATTAAATTAAATATTTTCGAAAATAGAGTATATTTCAAGCATGATCGATGTGAATTTGGAAAATAAAATTTCGCAAAAGTTGTCACTGCGATGCACCAAAGTGCCATTCGCGAAAGCGCCACGTGCGCGTCGCGCCGGGATGAAATCTCATTCGCGCGCTCGCACGCGTTAACACGCGAATTGTACATAGTTTAGAGCTTAACGGTTAGCGAGTAAAATACGTACAATACAAGTATTATAATTTGCCTGCATCGGGCAACTGGATCGAAAAGAAGGAGACAATTTAACGCGTGAAAAAGGATGAGATCTCGGCTTCACACGACGTCGCATTATCATTTTCTGTATTTTGCATATCGCAAATTCTCACCGTAAGTTTCTTAAACAAACTAGTCATTGTATTATACGCAGAAGAACAAAAGACTCGTTATGATTATTGAAAAAGATATATATATAGAGAGAGAGAGGTAGATGTTAGAATGAGCCATCGTTGCATACTTTTACCTTTTATCGTGCATGTAATTAGCAGCATGGCTCAGACGAGTACCACTATTCCTAGTTTTGTAAAGAAAATAAACTCTACTACGAAATACAGATATTGCCTATGTATAGAGATATTTTATACGAAATAAATTACATGGATTTTAAATTTTAAACTTCCTATTTCTATCATGTGTTAATTTCTTTTTCTCTTTTTTCTAAAATCTATTAACCTTTACCACTTTTGTTTTCCCCATCATGCTTCCTCTGGCATAATAATTCAGTGTCCTCTTTTCCTCAAGAATTCTCACGAATAAAATCTTACTACACTCAAATTTTTTTTACAAATATGTATTGTATATAAGACATTAATTACGAAGACTTTTACATAACTACTGAATTTTGATTATCAATCATCGTTACAGCATATACATTTAGATTGTATAAAAAGATGAGGCTCGCTGTCACAACGATATTTTGAAGACTCGCATAATCAAACATTTCATCTTTTAATGCTCGCATAAGTTTAATAATCTCTTCGAGCAATCAATTGGGCGTCGATCATTCGCTCGTCAGAGAACTTCAGGGAGAAGGGGGTCTCCTCGATAAAAGTAATTGTCGGTGTTCGTACTCAGTTCGAGACGAATCGATTGGATCCGATTTGAGACGTATGGTAGATCAAGTATTTCATTGCGCACGTGGATGTAATAACGCATGAAAGTGACAGAAAATGCTCCGCAACGTGGCGAACAAATCTATCGGCAGTTTCGATAAGCCGCGATACTTATATCGCATTCATCAGCACATTCCCATAATCATACTCATTGTTGTTTGCGCAATTGCCGTTCCGCCGAGAACGATTGTTCGTGATTGTAAAAAGAGTCCTTTCCGCACAGTTCACGCGCTGTATATCTTCCAAGTGCCGCCGTTTATTCATTGCTATACAGCTCTGTCTGGGTGGTCCAGATCAATCATGCGACGAATAGGAAATTTCATATCCTTTCATCGATTTATCGAAGCGAGATTTATCAATCTTCCAGATCGCCGAGCGTGTGTATGAAATGCTTCTCGAATCAAGACTGGAAATAAATTGAATATCTTGAGAAAAATATCGAGAATTTTATGATAAATCATTAGAATAGAAAAATTATACAATATGTTTCACAATTCTCTCCGCAGTCCAAACAAATACTCTTACAACAGTTGTATTTTTTGCAGTTGTGCGTATATGGGAAAAACGATTTTTGCTGAAGTAAAAATTTAGCTAGATACAGATCTGAAAATAATTTTGTTGTGTCATCAAAATAATGAGCAAAAATTTTTGACATTTTAGCTTGAGCGTCCTACATAATTATTTGTATAATCCAACAAAATTACATTCAGATCTGTATCTAGCTAAATATTTAGATACTTCAGCAAAGCTGTTCTTTCTTTAACGATATAATAATAATAACAATAATGAAAGTTGCGTTAGAACGAAGTTAATCCACGTTGCTTTGCAATTCGCACGGCATTCAACGTGTTAATCACGTCTTCCGGTTATGACAGAGCTCGCCTTCAGTATCTCACGAAGGCTAATCGACACGCGTTAACTCGCGTCAGCGTGAATACGCGCGGATTATCCGGCAGGTTATCCAATTTCTTCACACAATAAAGAATCGAGAGACCGTTCCGTGTCGCGACCGCGCGTGAGAGTATCTTTTGCCATTGCGTGTTGCGTTCATTCATACATTCACAGGCGTGTAACGCCAACACAAAGCTCTTTTAGCGGGGCAAACAACATATGGCGAGCAAACACGCGCGATGGAAACGCGACGTTCAATTCATTTCGCCCGGGCTAAACGGGCTACCTGCACCGCGTATTAAATCCCACGCGCCGCCAATTCAATCGGTGGCTCCAATCGAGCTTTTTGTTCGGCCGACTCGCCCATATGGGTGCCTGAGATCGGTGCCGCGATCTCGCTTGCCCTCCTGACATTGTCGCATTGGTAATATATGGGTCGACCTGCGAGGCAAACATGCGTTTAATCGACGTTTCAAGAGTAAAATTCATCAATGCGTGTAAGCAACACATGTGTCATTTAATTATTAAAGGTTCACTGAAAAAAATTTCTGGTTGAAAATGGACGAATCAGAAATTTCTCTCTCTGGTTAAATTTATTAGAATTCTAGTTAATAGACATAACCAGAAAATTCTGATTCGTCCATTTTCCAACAGAATTACTGTTTAATCCAACCAGCCCATTTTTCTCAGTGTTAAATATTATTTAATCTTTAAAGGACGGGCTCTATTTCTTAAATTTTACAACTTTTCCCCTTGAGTAATTTGTTATAACTCGTTATTTTCCATTGTATTCCTTACCTTAAAACATGGCACTTTTCAGTGCCATTATAATGGCTTTCCTATAAAAGGAAAAAAAAGTTAACGCGACAGCAGTATAGCTTATTAAAGTGAAAGCAGAGTTAAATCTTCTTCCATCGTTCCTTTAATATAGTAATCTGGATATCTAAAGAGGATTAACGGTGAATTATAGTCATAATGATGGGATAGGAAACTCGCGCGCTATACTCGCGGTTATTCAAATCTAAACGATTTACACTTGTGGTCTCGTTGTGTAGTTAGTCGCCATTATGACTATAATTATGTATGACGGCCCATTGAACGACGTCCTTTCGCCCGGCACGACAGGTGCACGCGCCATTTTCGAGTACCGGCCCTCGCAGACCGCACTGTGTATACACACTCACGTAGAAACGGTCGCGCAAGCAAGAAAGTGTGGAAGCAAACGCTACCTTAGCCGCTGGGCTTTTATGGCGACCGGTCCGATCGAACAGGTGCCTCGGAACGGATATATATACACACATAAAACGCTGGGGTAAAAGATTCCATTCTTCGTTTGTATATGGCACCGAGGCTTTGCACTATGCAAAGACTTTTGCGAGAGAAAAGCGACCGCGCGGTGACAAAAGGTCGCAACGTCGTATGAAACGCGCCAAGAATGGAACGTCAGCTATGAGGTTTTTCGGCACAAAGCGAAGGGGGTCGAGGCCGGCCATCATCGGCAAAAACTACCCACTGTCTCGTAAGAGCTGTAGATCCACGACTTTGGTAAAATTATGTTCGGGTTAATAATAAAATTTATCGGTTGACGTGTCAAAGGATTTTCAAATTGTCAGGTTTTATTTACGCGTGAAATAAAAATGTCATGATTTTATTTATTCGACTTATTGAGGTAGAAGTTGAAACTTTTACAAAATCCTGCATTTTACACAATTAATAAAAATACTGCTATTTTATCTTGTGTTTGCATTTATTTTATAAATATAATTGTTTATTATCTATAAACGTAACATAAGGTCTAAGTATTTTTGCACGGGAGTTTGAGCAGTAACGGTCTCACGACCTTTGACACGATCGCTGTAGAACTAAGTTGACCTCGTATAAAACTGATCGTTCCTTCAGGATGTACAGCACACCTGACCAAGGAACGAGAGTCTTTCATCGCTTCCCGGAAGACTCTCGTCTTCTTGCAACCCTTTACTCCGTGGTGGTACGTGT